AGTCATGCTGGGGGGGTAGGGGGGGCATAGGGGGGGAGTCTCTGCTGCAGGGAGCCTCTGCAAGACGACAGGGCATCTTGACCTTTCCGCTTCCAAGCCTGTGCACGGCTGACCTCACGACAGGCACTTGCCGCCTGTATCGCCGGCTGCAGCGACTGCAGCACAACCGGCAAGCACGAAAAACACAGGGGTCCAGAAGACAAGCAGCACGTGCGAAGACAGCTCCTTCACGTGTTGCTCAGCTGTTACCTCCGAAGCAGTGGCGGAGAGTGCGGGGTGTAGGGCGGGGAGCAAAACCAGGGTTTGAGTGTCTTGAGTGAGGGTGGGCTTGGTGAGGAAGGGGGAGGGCGGGAGAAGGGGCGGGGGGAAGGTCGGCCGGAGGAGGGGAGGGGGGCGGGAAGGAGGGGGGAGGGGGGAGGGGGAAAAGCAGCAGAAAGTGAGGGGGTCGGAGGCAAACGCCAAGAAAGTCATCCAAAATCACAGGAAGCCGGGCGAGGGGGTGGAAAACGAAGGCAAAAACAGGGTGGGTCCAACCATTTGCGCTGCAGGGAGGAGGACTAGGTGGAGGGTACTTGAGGTAACCCCCAAGACGCCTGGGCCGGTGGCCTCGGCGGATTAGTGCAGAATCCGTTGTGTGGCTGCTGGGTTCTGTCTTGGTTTTCCAGTCTCCCTGCAGTTCCCTTTTCACGGCTCGGCGAGTAGGTTAGTCATGAAAGCCTACGGACGACCGGTCGTGTCCTTGCTGTGCCGCGGAGCACGTCGAGAGACGGTATGCGAGAAGGCTTCGCAGGGAGAGCTGCGAAATTCCTGCCTCCGGTGGCCTGGTACGGCCTCGACCGTAGCTGGGTCCAACCGAGGCGAGGACGGCATTTGCGGACAGCTGGCCACTCAGTCTTCTGCACAGAGCCAAAGCCTAGTTGACACACTGACTGCAACATAGGTTGCGAGAAGCACGTTTTCGAATGAACAGCCGCAGTCAGGTGAAAACAGCTGCAGACATTGTTGCTTACTCCATGTATGGTGACAAGTGGTCCTTCGAGGCAGGGAACTTTGTTACAATCTGTCCCTTGGCAAGATGCACCGCAACACTCAGACCGGACTTCTCAAGCACATCTTGGGAGAGTACCCACCTCCAAGCTGCTTCAAACTTACACGAAAGCCAGGCCAACAAAGCCTTGACACACTCCCGGCCCTGTCTGGAGACTTGAAACAAAAAGGTCCTCTCCGCTCCACTCACGTCAGTTTACGCCATCTCTCAGTATATCTCCGAGACATTGCAGCCGACATGGGCTCTTCGTGCCTGGAGGGCGACTTGGCATTGCTGAAGCTCAAAGCTCCCCTCACCAATCCAGCGGCAGCTGTCATCGACGAGGGCGACTTCGACGAGGCCCCTTGTTTTGAGCCCGGAAATAGCCGTAGGCAGACGGGTGCTCGGCGAAGTCTGCGGCGCAAGACGTTAATCCTATCGAAGGAACTCTCCAGGATCCAAATGTCTGGATTTGCAACCCGCCCAGAAACCCTTGCGCTCGCGGTTACATAGTTCAACGACCCAAATCACAACTCGGAACGGCACTGGAAGCTCTCCAAGTCAGGCTTGTGGAAAAGACAGACTGTACAAGTAACGATTCTGAAGCATACTTCCCAGAGCAAATCCGCCCTGGCGCTTCGGAAGGGAACCGAGTCTGATGCCACTAGCTTTTCAGTTTACTTAATTGTCCCAGCTGTCCATACTAGGTGCGCGCCCTGGATGAGATCATCATGTTCGGCTGTCCTGACGCATCCGAGCTCCCGTTGCCCACGACCGGCTGCCACCTCAGAGATGGGCACAGGCAAAAATGCTGCCTGTATCATGGAGGACGATGTGTGAGCGTAGACGATGCTAGTGTCTCCACTTCGCATGGTCTAGCATCGAAGCGACGTAGTAAAGGACCATCCACTTGGGCAGGGCAGCTGACTTGCACATGTCTCTGGCTGTTGTTTCCCACCTGGCAAGGTAGTTCCACAGTTCAGCTTGAAGAGATTGTTATGTGCGGCATTCTGTCCAACCCACCGTTGTCACAAGTGTGTAGAGAATGTCTCGGGTGATCAGGTCATGTTGCATCCATGTCGGAACAGCGTGCCGGCATCGGCTTGATGCTGTCGCAGGCTGGCTCTATTCCAGCCCGCTGGCGTGTGTAGTCATGGAGGGTATTTAATATGGGAGGAAGTAACAGACTTGCTTCCGTGGAATGGCTTGAGTGGTTTGACCTCGTAACTGCTTTCTGCAAAGCATCGCAATCTTGTTCATTCCCTGAAAGCAGGTTTTCGGAAACCCTGGAAGTTCCGGAAGCGCAGTCTTTCGCTACTCTGAGAAGCGGTCGAGATACGAGGCCGGGGAGCCGAGAAGGTGAGGACCCGCTTGCAAGAGGGAGAGATTTTCTGGGTCTGCAGCTGAGGTCATTGCAATACATTCCCTTACAGACTCTCGTGGCAGTCTGACAGATGTGGGCCAGACTCTTACACAGATGTTGGCATAGACCAATGTAGACAGCAGCCGAATCCAGGCATTCTGTCAGAGCGCGGTTCGCTTTGAGGTCGAGGTTGCTTCCTGCGCTTGGCTATCCAAGCACCCGAAATTCACAAGTTTCTGAGGCAGGTGTGTGTTTCTAGTAGTGCTGCCCCGCTGTTAGCATTGTGTTTCTGCGCTCGGGGTTTTAACAAGTAGTAGTCGTCGTGGTACTAGTGCTGCTCTCCTCGTCTTCGTTCTGCCACCGGTAGCTATCGTCGTCGCGGCCATGAGAATTTATGAGAACACGAGGTTGCACAAAATGAGCCATCTTCTCGGGCCTTGGACTCAGCTCAAAGCCGCAACAGTGTGCTGCGTGGTATATGATGTTTGAGTGCTGTAGCCTGAGGCTGGAGACTGGCCAAAGCAACGAAAGCCAGGCCCGAGAATTCCTAAGCATCCCTAAGCCCTAAACCCGAGGCCCACTAAGCCCTCATGGAAGTTCACCCGTTTTTGCGTGGACGGAAAACGGCCTGTGGGCAGCTTCGGGAGGCCCAGCAGGCTTGATGGGCGGCGCTTAATTCCCCGTGGAATGTGCGGCTGGCGAAAAAACCAAGGGGCGGAGGCGTGCGTTGAGACATGCTCGCTTTCAGAGGATTCCGTTCTGTGCGAGGGACGGGCTTGCATGCAGTCGAGTGCTGGCTCCAAAATGGCTGAGCAGAAGTGTATCGATTAGATGCAGCCGGGAGGGGAAGTTCTTTACTGCAAAGCCCCTCAAGTTGAAGTCCCGCAAGCATGATCCTCAGCAAAGGACACATGCCCTTTCAAGGACATCCACACGCAACGAGATTGCAGAAATAGAGCGGGCCCTTCCTGCATGGCAGCCCAAGAGCAGGATGCTGCCTGCCCGAGCGCAAGCTGCTGAGCTCGTACTCCTTTGGTTCATGGGTAGTTATAAATGGGGTTATAAGTAGGGTAACTATACTTATAACCCATATTGCAGCTTCCGACAGCTTAGACTCAGAGACCTGAGTTTCCGGTCGGAGCCTGCAGCCCGATAAGATTTCTCCAGGTCTGGTACGCGCGCGTCAAATGTGGAATGCTCATTTTCTGGATCTTCTTCACAGGCCGGAACATGGTTGAGAAACAAACGGAAGGTGAACTCAAGCTTTCAAACTGGCCCGAATGCAGGAATAGATGTATGGATGTGGCATTGGAACCAATCACCGCTCTGGTTGCTGGCTTGCCTGGCCGAAGCCCCAAGCTGTTTTCACTGATGAGGGCCTCTACTCTCACAGAGCCAGCCTTCAGGTGGTGACGAACGGATGGGGTTGGCTGGACGCCGTCCTGTGCCGAGCCCAGCAGTGATGCACAGCAAGCCCAGCAAGCGTGATTCGAGAGTTCATGACCAAGGCGATATCCCGTCCTCCATGACATCGACAGCCCATTCACGCTGAAGAATCTACTCTTGATTGCCGGGACCTTGACTACTTAAGTCTATGCATCGACAGTTGAGTGACTGCCTATGTCAGTTGGGAAAGATCTGTTGGCTCATCACGGTTTTCCTGCCGTGCCGACATGTTTAAACTGGGCAAATCTGGTTTGGATTGCACGTCGCCATTTGTCTCATCACAGGCGGCACAAGTCACACCCGGTCTCTTTTGTCGTGCGTGGCCCAATCAACCTCTCTGGATCTCTCTCGGCCTTTTGTGTCGGACGGTTTCTGTTCTCTGAGCCTCGGAAATGCTCAGTTGTGCTCCATGCTTGCGATCGTCGTGCCTGCGTCTCAGCATGGATGTGCTTCGCGGCGCTCCCTTCCTCCGCGGATTCCCTCCCCAGCCCTCTGAAGCCCAGACCGATGTTTTACGCGATGCTGCTGCCACTTGATGAGACCGAGCAGGCCTGGTTCATGTCTTGCCTCTTGAAGGTCTCCGGGTTTGGGAGAGGCCCAGATGTCCGTCTCTTGCAGGTGTACAACCTGATAAAGTCCATGTATACGGACGAGGACATCCTCGTGCGCTCTGCCCTGAGTCCACTTTGCCCGTGAAGTCTAACAGTTTCAGCACCCGTGTGCCTTCCCCGAGGCTGCTGGCGCTTCTTAAGGAATCCCCGGCAAACGATGGAGGCTCGCGCTCGCGGATCACGATTGAACCGCACGGGCTAGGAAGAGATGACTTGCTCGCATGGCCCGCCCAGGCCTGGAACAGGCAGCGCCACAGAATAATCAAACGAGGCCGGCTTGGCTACAGTCCCGACTTTGCCTTTTTGCGCCGTTGTCGATGGTTCAGGCTGCGAGGAGATCGCCGAGCGAACCCCGACGGTTGCCGCGAAGCTCGGAGAGTCTGCAGCTCGGATCAGTCGCGCAGGGAGCTGCAACCACCTGCGGGCGGCCCTTGAGCTTTCTTTCAGTTCCTGCCCTTGTCAAGGCTGAGCCCGACGCGAAGAGCGATGCTGCGCAAACCCGGGCGCAGCGTGTAAACAGTGATGCAAGCTGCTGTTGCAGTGCTGTTGCAGTGGCCTCAAAGCTCATCCGGAAACCTCTGCTGCGATCCGAGTTTTCATCGGGGTACACGCAGCCGCATACTCACACACACACACACCCACACACAATATCACACACAGACACAAACGCCCTTTTGGAATTCACTTCAGCCCAAGTGACACAGGTTTGTGTCGCACAGCATGATTACTTAGCAGTTGCAGAGATGGTGATGTAAACACAAATTTGTGCGACTGTGACGCGAAGCCAGCTCGCCATGTTCGCTGCGGAGCTGTCGTACAAATCGCAGGCCAGGGCGCGAGGTGAGTAAGTTACTCTGCTAGCTTCTGCACGGGTCAGGAAGCAACACATGTCGGCCACCATGTTCTGCATCTGGATGCATCGCATGGTGCTAACCTTAGTCCATCCGGGCTCGTGCATGCAGTTCAGAGTCTTTGTAGGTACCCTGTAAATGGCTGAGGTGAGCAATCTGTGATAGGGCAGCTCATCTGCATAGATGGGCCGAAGAGCAGCAGTTCAGACCCATGATACCACCTTTTTAAATTGCAGTGTGGCTGAGGTGTGGCGCGTCCGCGCTCTTTGCCCACCTTGCCAAGCTGTATCCAGATGTGGAAGTGCAGCACGTCCGCTTGTGGGAGGATGCCACCCGGAAGGAGATGGAGTACAACTTAGAGCATGTGCTTCGGCCGCACTTGCGCCCCATTGCCCATGCTCCCAAGATAGGACCCCACGAGTGAGCACTTGCAGGAGGGTCTGAAGCTCAGAGCTTCGCATGTCAGGTCAATGCCAAAATGGCAATGCTGGCAGGACCCGGATCTGAGGAGACCGCGCAGCAGTTTGCCGGCATTGAGGTGCTTGCGAAACAGCTTGCAACCGCCAGAGGTCAGGATTAACGGTGACTGTTGTATTGTACTGGTGTAGCTGCTTTCGCTTTCTTGTGCTTTGTGGTCTGCCTTTTTGTTTTCCCTTCTCTGATGAACGCTTTGGTGTAGGTCTCGTGGTGTCGGCTCCCATGTGGAACTTCGCGGCGCCGTATGTTCGCTGCTGGCACTGGGTGTAAGAGATCTTCGCGATCCATACTCGCACGAATCGCCGCAAGGTCGTGAAGCAGTACTTCGACTGCGTGCTTCATCCAGGTCGCTTGCTGACCATGATCATGCTCCGTAGATGTTGGTGGCCTTGATGTTGCCTGCATCCCGTGGCTGAAGTCTGCAGCTCATGTTGCTGCGCAGGACTGACGTTCAAGGAAGTCGGCGCTGGTCCCTCTGGACTTCTGGGTGGCGGACGTCCAGTGGTTTTGCTGACTTCGTCAGGCGGTGCTGGCGCGAAAGACTACCTTACTCCATGGATATTGGAAGCTCGACTGAGGGTTCATGCAAATTTAACTCTTGTTGTGCCTTCCTTCTTCTCGTGCATCTTGGCTTCATCAGGATGGAGAAAGCCTTGCGTGCACACTTGTCTCAGTCATTGGAAGCTGAGGACGTTGCAGCCATGGCTGGCTTTGACAGACCCAAAGTGGTGTCAGCCACCGGTCTCGTGAGTGGTTGGCCCAGTCTCAAATCGCCGTGCTCGCAATGAAAAGCACCCCGCGCCTGTCATACTTGGAGATTTATATAGTGACTTTCTGGCCCAGGCAGAGACCGCACGACGGCCATCGAGGTTTTCCGCAACCAAGCAGAAGCTGCGACGGAGCACCTGGCTCTCGAACAGGGAACAGACAGGCACGCATTGACGGCAACGGGCCGGTCTGCATGGAACTGTTGTAGTAGCACCCCAAGCAGGCCAACCAAGTCGCTGGACGAAGAGATTTCCACCTCGTGTGGGTACGAGGATTCCCCGTAAGGATCGACGAGTAGTTGTGCTGAGCGACGTTAACTAAGTAGCGTGTGGTTTGGAGTTGGCAACCCTGCTTTGGTGTACCGCTTGATGCTTGTACATATACCACCGAAGTAAGGCTTGAACACGTCAAGACATATGAGTTTTCCTTGGTCCGGACAAGTGTCGGTTGCTGGAGGGACGGAAAGCTCCAGTTGTTGAAAGACAGGAGCTTCGAAGCTGGTTGGAGAGCACTGGCGGCTTGAGTTCTGACTGCTTGGACTCTTTGGAGGCTGCACGCGTCGACGGCGAACTGTTGCTCGGATGGCTTAGATCTGACGGTGGTCTCTTCCTGGGCTTGCCTATTAGTGCACGCAGCAAGCAGAAGGGATCACTAACCACTCGTCCTCATTCCGCGTTCACGAGTTCCTAGCAGGTTTCTATCTGCCTCTGACCACGACTGGCGTGACGAAGAGCTGGGTCTCGAAGAGGCGCGGCGGTGCCAGCACGGCCCAGTGTAACACCTCTTCTGTGAGCAAGACGTAGGGCGCTTCCAGAGCCGAGGGGAGAGCCGAGCTCAGACCGCCCGAGGCCGACATCGCTCGCCTACAGGAGCTGCAGAAGAAGTTCCGTGAAGACGCGGGCGACGCGCGGGCGGTCCGTGAGGAAGACTGATGCTTGGCGGAGCACCCAAAGCAGGGCTCCAACGATCGGGAAGCTGATCGAACATCTGCAATGCTGCAAGTGGCGAAGCCGTAGACTTCGTATCATCGGATCGTGTTGAGGGCGAGTTGTGCTAGCTGAGAGCTTGTCACTCCGAAGCTGCATTGTGCCAACCTCAGTACGCATATTAGGACCCACATGTGTGAGAACTATAGCATCATCCTGAGAGCCGTAATAAAACATATTACGACAGCACAAAAATGGTTCATGGGTTGCGGGCTACCAGAGGTGAAGTAGACATGGGGACTGCGCCATGGGGGGCTTACTGCCGAAGCCCGTCACAACAAAAGAGATTCAGGAGCTGCCAAAGATTGAATGATCAGTCCAACATGAGAGTTTCCGAAAATTAGGGGTACCTTATTTTGGGGTCCTTATATAGGGATCCTACTATTTGGGTACTATATTAGGTTCCCCTATTTTCGGAAACCCCCACATGTGACGGTCACTGTCCGCATCTGTGCCCGTGAGGACGGAAAGAGTCAGACCGGCCACTATGCCTTTGGTGTGAGCTCTATGCAAGGATGGCGTCCCGCCATGGAGGCCCGTCCCTCAAAGCGGAAAGTTTGAGTTCAGTAACATGAGTGGTATAACAAGTCAACATCTCAGCGATGCATATCATTTCAGCAATGTCAGATCAGAACAGCTAGCAGGTACATCATCATTGTGGTATAAGAGCGGTAGCACGATGGTACATGGAAAGAAACACGCCGGCAGTATGACCAATTGAAACCTAGTCTCAGTCTCGACAAGATTCAACCAAATATCTCTGAGAGAATGAGAGAACATTCTCATCAGGATTGTAGTTCTGCCATGGTAAAAAGAATGGTGAAGGAAGAGAACAGCGAAGGAACCTCCCAAAAACGCTAACAATGATCAAAACAAACATTTAGAGAATTGATTGCGATGGTATGAAAACTGCACTCAGGATTCCTAGTGATGGTTACTCGTCGTGTTTGTGACAGGTATCGAAAGTACCCGCCACTAACACCATGAAGCATGGCGACCACAACGCCTGTAGCTACTAACGAAGACCGTAGCAACAACAAAAGCTAGCGCCTTGTTTACCTACCGATATCAGCAGTTATGCCAATCAGCAGTAATGCCAGCTACGATGCGGCATGAACAGAATCATACCATAACACCACGCCAACACCCCTCCCCACCCGCACGCCGACAACCACCATCAACAACAACACAAGCAATAACAACAACAGAACAGCAACAGAACAACGGCAACATTAACAGCAACGACAACAACAGCAACAACAAGATGAACAACAACAATCACAACCACACGACAGCGACACCAACAAGGACAAGGACAACGACCGCAACAACAGCAACAACAACAACAACAACCACAACAACAACAGCAACAACAACAACAACAACAACAACTACTACTACTACTACTACTACTACTACTACTCCAGCTGCTACGGCTGCTACTGCTACTGCTACTGCTACTGCCGCTGCCGCTGCCACTGCCACTCCTACTCCTACTCCTACTCCTACTCCTACCCCTACTCCTACTCCTACTACTACTGCTGCTGCTGCTACTATTTCTACTACTGCTAACACTAACTACTAACTACTAACTACTGGCTACTAGCTACTACCTACTAACTACTAACTACTAACTACTAACTACTAACTACTACCTACCACGTACTACCTACTACCTACTACCTACTACCTACTAACTACTAACTACTACCCACTACCACTACCACTACCACTACCACTACCACTACTACTACTACTACTACTACTACTACTACTACTACTACAGCCTTAAAAAGCCTTTATTAAGCCCTTATGGAGCCTCTGGAGCCCTCCAAAGCCGTTATTGGGGCATAATAAAGCCGTTATTAAGCCCTGAGTACGCGAGCCCAGAACCCCCCCAAAAAAAAGAAATTTAGCCCCTCAATTTCTTAAGTTTAAGAAATCGAGCCCCTCAATTTCTTATTATGGTGGTTTTTTGAATATGACAAAGCCTTAAAAAGCCTCTATTAAGCCCTTATGGAACCTCTGGAGCCCTCCAAAGCTGTTATTAAGGCTTAATAAAGCCTGTATTAAGCCCTTATTAGGCAAGCCCAGAGCACCCCAAAATAAGAAATTGCGCCCCTCAATTTCGTAAATTTAAGAAATCGAGCCCCTCAAGTTCTTATGTTTGTGGTTTTTTTGAGTATGACAAAGCCTTAAAAAGCCTTTACTGAGGCCTTATGGAGCCTCTGGAGCAGCCCAAAGGATGCCATGCCCGAGTGGATAAGCGCATGCGCTAGAGGGGAAACTGCTGCGGGCTCAAGCCCCTCAGTCTTCTGATTTCTGTTTTGGAGCCTTTTCAAACTAAGAAATTTGAATTAATAAAGCCAGGGTATGCTCAAATCCCGAAATGTATTTTTCAATAAAAAAGGTGTGCTTCAAAAAGTAAGAAATC